ACAAAGGGACAAAGACTGCTTTGTCCACAGGCAAGTGATGTGTGTCAGGGTTCCTGTAAATCCTTGAAAAGTATCAGCAAGTAAGATGGGTTTAGAGAATGTAAGGTCATAAAACAGTCTTACAGTTAATTGTAAGGGGCCTTAAATCTCAGATGGAACATGCAATGATTAAAGTTGAGTTAAAAAAATGTATATGTATGTATTAACTTACTCAAAGATATGCAAAAATGTTTTTGAGCTTGAGGTGAGTTTGTATTAGATACACCACATCTCTGTCAACTCATCAACAATGCAAACCTGGGGTAATTTTCTCTTGGGGGGGGGGGGGGTGTAAAAGGTCTGAATAAATCTTGTATTAGTTTTATCAAAGTGTACTGCATCTCTGTGTGTGCGTGAATTTTACTGCAAGTATCAAATGTAATCTCAATACTCTGTATCATTCTCAGAAGAACACTATTTTACATGACATTGGTATAAAAACTGTATTATGTCACTGTTACCAGTCCTCCTGTCTATTGAACTTATCCCTGTGGCTGATTGGAATGAGGAGAAGGGTATTTCTTTATTCTGTTGTGTATTAATCAAACACAAAAAGAAGAGGAGAAACCCACCCTCAAAAAGCAGCTCACATTTGTGTTTAAACGCTGATTTATTCAGGGCTGACACATCACTGATGTCTGTACTTTTGATTCCCTGCCTTCCACTTTGAACTTCTTCGCCTGATTTTGGTGCTTGTTGTCACAGATTTCTGACCTTAAGTTCTCCAAGAAGTTTCTGTCACAAAGCAGGTTTCATAAAAATCTTGGAGTCAACAGAATGCTTAATAAAGGCACCAGAGTACAGCAAAGGTCAAACCAGGAAGCTTTATTCTTCTTTATGGACACACCAAGCAGATCAGCAGATCAGACTCAATACTGTTGAAACATGTCTTCATACACCTTTAGCTGTGGGTGCTGAGAAATGTCTCCTCCTACCTTTATTTTCATAATTATGATCTTTTTACCATAGATCTAACGGTGTTTCATTGCATCATGTTTTTTGGAAAGACTTTCTATTTTGGTGTTTGTCTAAATCCATCAAATATTCCTTAATTTGCCTAAATATGGGTCATGCGGTCATGGAAAATCCCCAAATAACTTTGGGTTTTGTAATTACTTGGTGTCCAGATGCAGGCAGCCCATTTCCATTAATAGGGCAGCTTTCTCTCAGTCTCTTTTCTTATTAGGGCTACTTTTTTCCAATTAGGCTTAAACAACTTCCATAGAAAAGCTACCCAGTTATACCACTTCTAGTAAAGGGCTGACATTATCCCAGCTAAGGTACATCCACCAATTCCACGAAAAAGCTACCGTCTTTCTTGTGCGAGCCTGCGCCTGTCTCCCAGTCCTTTTCATTTACTGATGTTGACTTTCCTCTGAATGTGTTTAGTTTAATACAACTTTAGCACATACATCTAATTGTGTTCATGTGACATTACTTATGCCTTGCATGGCACTGACACCACAGTACCACTAAGTGAGATCAGAGGGGTAAGCTTGGTCTGCTAAGCCTAAAAGTTTTCAGTGTCACTGAGTTGGCTGTCTTTAACCTGGCTGGATCACCACAGTAACTAAATCTTAACTCATCACCAAATAAGTTAAGAGTTCATCTCAAAATAAGCCGTCGTTTTATCGAGCTTTGCCTGATGGTAGTGCGCTGAGATAATGTGATCATAGATTTGCAGCTTTAAATCCACACAATGAAGCCATGTCCACATACTATAGGTGTCATATCACAAAAGCATTCAACTAGTAATGAATATAATCCATCCCCTCCTCCAGTCTCTCCCTCCTCTTTCAGCAGATTGTCTTTATAGTAAAAGAACAATGAGGGCACAGCATCAAAGGACACTGGATTAAGATTTTAAACTTGGACCTAAAATCCTGCCAAGTGTGTTTTAATCAGCTGGTTTTGCAGCGAAATTCTGATTGGTTAATAAGATTGTTTAGTCTTTAGGAATTTAGACTTAATGCCCCCGCTGAAATCATGTGTATCATTGTTCGGAGCAGCTTGCTTTAGAAAGACGTGAGAGACTCTGAGAGTATCACAAGGTAAAATTCAAACAGTAAAATGCAGATTTATGTGAGGATTTTCTGTAGGCCTGCAGTGATGGATTTTCTGCAGAAACTTTTCATCATCTCTCCTCATTACATCAGTCCGACCGAAGCAGACAGCCTGTGATTGTTCCTTTTTGTGATGAAGCGTCAAACAAGGCATAAATACCCTCTTTTCTGTGAGTGCGCTCAGGGCCTGAAGCAGAAAGTTAGCAGAGAGAGTTCATAAGCAGCTCCATCGTACCTGTTATCTCTAACAGGAGCTTTGAGCTTTGTCGATCCAGCTCGCTCAAAGAAAGACTGTGGGTTGACTTCGTTTTGTGGTTTTCACTCTTGGAGTACTCAGAAGTTCAAACCAAGTGCTGCTCCTTGGTGGAGAACACAGAAATCAGGTGTTGTGGATTTGTGTGAACTGTTTCTTCTTTCACACTTTGTAGCTGAATTTGCGTACCGTCAAGTGCTTGCTCTTTGTTAAAAATTTTTGGATCTCCTTAATTAAAATACAAAGAATACAGCCTGGACATGTTTTATGAGATACATGTGTAAGATTCATGAATTCAGATAAAGACCCCTATCTGGAAAATAGAAAGTTTGTACTCAGGACAAAAGAGCAGCTGGTCACTGATTAGCTGCATTCCTGACTCTGGGGGTGAGCGTGGGGGAGGAGAACCTGTCTGTGCAGTCGACAAATGTGAAAACAGTGGGGGTACAAACATACAGATGAGGGGGGGGTAAACAAGTGTGCCATTCCTTGTTTTTCCAGGGCTCTGCTGTAGAGACAAACTGCAGCAAACAGAGCTGCTGTGGAGTCAAAGAGTGGTCGTGACCTCTGACTGGAGGAGGAGGGGAGTCGCCAAAGAAACTGTTATCTAGAGATCAGTGAAAAATCTAAACTTTGGTCCCGTAAGAGATCAGACACTGTGTACAATGATTAAAAACAGAACTTAATGCAAACCGTTTGAAGCCCATATTAAAGTCAATATGATACAAGGACAGGATTCAAGAAGAATCAAGGTTCAAGATTCAATATTGGTTTATTTTGTCATATGCAGGTTAAACAAGGTCAACAATACAATGAAATGCCCTGGATGAGAAGGGCCACTCAACCCAAAGAAGTACAGATAAAACATGCAATAAATACTAAGAAGAATACAATCAAATAAGGCTACAAAAAATAAAAGAAGTGTAAAAGAAATAAGGAACATGTTCATTATGTGCCACATCACCTCTTTTTTCAATGACACCATAAACATTTGTGAACCAAAGAGATCCGTTTTAGAGTTTGGAAAGAGAATTATTGTCCCATTGTTCCTTGGTATAAGATCCCAGTTTCTCAACGGTTCAGGGTCTCCTTTTTTTTTTTTTTTTTACACTTTTTGTTACAAGATGCTCCAAAATGTTTTTGGACAAAAAAAAAAAAAAAAAACACAGCAAGACCTGTATAAAATCCTTAAATTTTATGGTGCTTTTCTTGATATACAAGTTACCCATGTCATGGGTATCATGCATCTCCAAACTGTCAAGGCTGCAAGCTTTTGAGCTGTGAGCTGATAACAATCTAGGTGGCCTTTCTTCTTTTAAAGAACAGAGGTTGTAGGATCCATGATCTCCAAGGAGAATTTTTAATTTTGACTTATTAAACCACAGGGCATTTTTTTCACTTAATTTTAGTCCATCATCAATGGGATGAGGTCTTTGCATATTTGCTCCTGGCAGGCTCTCACAGACAGGTAAACTTATTCCTATCTTTTCCTCTAATAGACACTACCTCTCTGAAATGACACTTTTATACTCAGTCATGTTTCTGACTTGTTTGAAATTAACATAAAATAGTTGAAGATGTGCCTTCAGGTATTATTTTAGTATAACACAACCTTGTCAGCGTTGTATTACCCTTGACTTCCAACTTTTATGAAATGTTTTGGTGTAATCAAATTTAAAATGAGCACATATTAAACCTTTTTATTCAAGCATTTGCACCATTTTCACACACCAATAAACCTATTTGTATAATTATTTTACACTGCATCTCATCTTATTTAGAATTGTTAAGAATTATTAGAAATAAACCTCAGTGGCATAACAGAGAGTGATTGTGGGGAGATGTCAAACCAGCTTTACTCATTTGATTGAATTATTGCATTGACCTATTTATTTCTGCACAAAGTTTGAGACAGTTCAGTATTTTATTTGTATCTGTAAATTCCAAACTGTATGACAGCTCCCTGTTTCCTCTCTGATAAGAATTTGTCATTCTGGTTCCAGACTGTGCAACACACAACCTAAACACCAAACAACATGGTGAGCAATCTCAGTTTCAGTCATAGTTAATGTGCTTCTGATCCAAAATGAGCATCAGCTTTGACAACAACTCTGGGTTATGAATGTCTTTTCATACTCAACAAAACTCCTCACTTTTACTTACACTCAAGTCTGCGTACCACATACATTAAAATCAATCCTTTAGTATGGGTCCACACACAGATAATGGATCAGATAGAGCACTCTTAGCAGGCTAGAGGAGACTTCTGTTTGCTTGTTGCCTCCTCTTATCATTACACCAGTCCCATTTGTGCCTTTTGTGCCAGTTTGCTGCTCTCTGCCTCCCAGCAGGGGGGGAGGGCCCTTTGTTTATCCCATTAGGGCCCATTAGAGCAGACATGTGGTGAGGATCTTCACACCAGCCTTAATGGGCTGCACACTCCACTAACTCTCCTCTAAACTGTGTATTTGGGATTCATGAGAGCGTGCGCTAAAGTTATTGAAAGAAAAAGCACAAACTTCATAAATCAGGCTGTTATTGCAAATTTGTATTGTATCATCTGGAACAAAGAACAGCCCCAGTTGTGGCCTGTGTTTGTCTTTCTTTTTTCTTTTAAAGCCCCACTGATAAGCTGTATTTCAGGGGGAGAAAAGAGGAAAAAGGGAAAAAAAGGAAAGATTTATTTATTTTTTTTTAATTTTCAGCTTTATTTTGGTGGTTGCTGGCACTGTAAAGCATCCTCCCCCTGTAGCCCGCTCAGATGGAGCAGTTTGGAGAGGAGGCTCTTGTCCAAACAGCAGAAAGCTGCAGGGAGGCGAGAAATCTCAAACCAACAGGTTGTCTGTAAAAACAAGGAGGAGAAAAGTCAGACACCATCTGTGAAAAAGGCAGCAGGGAGCAACAGTAAACTAATTATCAAGAGAAAATTAGATTGTGACCAGTGCTATCCATCACTTCACACTCACAGCACAAGCCCCATAACAGGGTCAGAAAAATGAAGAGGACACTCCAGATTTGATCTTAATCTGCACCACGTGTTAAATTTAAAAGACAACAACACAAGTTGTTTTTTACTGAACGTGGTAATAAATCAGTGATTACTAATTAAACTATTGAACAAAGCAAATCCAATCCAACAGCAATCAATCCAGAAGAACAAATAAGAGATGTCCAAAACATTAGAAATTGTCAGAATTCTATTGCTTTAATTGAATATCAGCTTCTTTTTTTTTTTTTCCTGTGCATTATTCATGGTCTGGAAAATGTTCCATACTTGTAAGTCAGGCTGCCAGTACCGTTTCCATAGCTGTCTGCAAACTTCTTCACAGCTTGTGTAACATACTGAGGGAGTCTGTTGATCAGTCTTGGTCTTTAAATGGCTGGAACACTGGTACTGACACAAGTAATGAGCGAGCAGGACAGGCAATGGCCAATATACTATGCCGATAACACACTGTTGTTTTTACATTTCATGAAGTTCAATAGTTTTCACAATACTTTCACAATAAATGAGAAATATAATTACTGAGATTGAATCAATGAGCATTGGCAAAGTAAAATATCGCCTCTGGGGATTTATGTCCTGCTATAAATTAAATAGACAAAACTGTGAAAGACAAAAAAAAAAATAAATAAATAAAGGTAACACTTTACAATAACTGTAACTTATAAATGGTAAATAGACTATTTATATATGGTAAGCAGAAAGTTTAGTAAAGTAACTATTAACTTACTTTAATAAACTATTTATTTGCCATTTATAATTGGTCTATATGCTGTTTTTAAATGATGATTAAACATTAATAAACTATCTATTTACCATTTATATTATAGATTGTGGTTGTTGTAAAGTATTACCAAAAAAACTTGTTTATTCCATTACTCCATGTACATTATAATATAATATACATGCGTATGGTGGCCAGTGTAGCCAGTGGCATATTTAAGTTGTATTAAAATACAACTACATATGGTTATGCTGTAGGTTACAGAACATTACTATTATATATTATCATCACTAAACTGCATTCCTAACATCACAACATTATAAAAAGCACTGGCCAGTTAGTACGTTAGATTTGATAGGATGTATTTTAGGGTAGGGAAAATATATCATCATAGACAGAAACGTTTATGATGATGTGATGCCATTATTAATCAGGCTAACTGGTCTTCATCTGAGTCTGATGGATGTAATTTGTAGACAACATATTTTGTGCAGGCCTGGGACTTTGATTTCTACGTACATTTGTAACCCAACAAATCTGAGACTGTCAGACTGCTTCATTATGTCACATTTACTATTTGATTATAGACACGCTATCGTTGAGTGCTGTGTCAATCATCTGCAAACATTTGTTAACCGAGTAAAGAGGAGGGGATACCCCACCCCTGACTCTCAGACCCCCCTCGGACACCCACTGCCCCCTCCCCTTTAGCGGAGCTTTATAATCCCTGCTGCCACACGGTTGAAGCGCAGAGTCAGACTTGTTCTCCTGTCCTCACTGAGAGCACCAGCAATTTGGTGTCAAATTCATTCAGCTGCAGCATTATCTAGAAACAGGCGAGCTACCAGCTGAGTGGTTATTTTAGCTCCATTATTCCGTGGAAGGAGAGGTCCTCTGGGAAACAAAGCGACAGAGATGAGTTCCGTGTGTTTACTCCTTCAGCGGCCGTCCCTCGGAGCTGCCCCGTGGTCACAGCCGTCCACAGCACGCAGCAGCCCGGACTCCAACGGCAGGTAGGTTACCAGTGCGAGTGGAGCTCTGTGTTCAGTTGTCATTTTTCATTGAGATAAATGGCGCGTTTACAAGTTATAGGTGACGTTTTGGCTTTATTATAAAGTATGTGAGACCCCATTTCGTGAACCTGTCCTAGAGTGTCTTGTTATCAGTTACACCGACATCTGTTTGATAAGGCTCGGCTAAGCTAACGCTCACAGTGGACTGAAGCTAATGCTAGCGAGCTCAGCCTGTCCCAGTGGTTGCTAGGCGACAATAGCTGCCTATCTGTGATAATGCTCACTGTAATGAGTTTAATGTGTTTCTTGAAAGCGTAGATAATCCTGTTAGAGTGACACTCAGACTACATCAGGTCACGAAATTGCTAGTTAATTGTCGGTTCGGGGCACATAGTTGAAAGATTTTTATTTGACGTGATTTTCCTCACTCTTGTAGAGACCCTCCATGCAAACATTAACTAGGAAGTTAAGTAGTCGCCCATGATAATAATAATATCTGTTGTTGTCAAAGGATTACTTTTGACCCCAACAGAGCCTTTATAGTTACTCTACTGTATGTCAAAGCATGTGATAGTGTGCTTTGACTTGGCTCAATCATAATCAGACTTTCTTTGTGTCCTCCCTTTCTACAGACAGAATTCACTGTGGAGACCCTGGTTATCCAGCTCTAAGGACCGACCAGAGCGAAGCCCCCGGGATACACTTTCCTGTGTAAGTTACACCACGCAACATTGAAACTTATTTTACTCTGTTTGAGTAAAAGCCTGAAATGTTTGAGTCTCACGCCAATATCCATTCATGTTTCTGTCTGTCTCTCCTCAGCCGTACTCCAGAGCCACAGTCCCTGGCCGCTGCTCATCAGATGGGAAACCTCAGGCCTTTCAGCACCCTGTCAGGTCAGTGTCCACTCTGTTTCAGTGGGTGTAACACTTTGTGTGTTAGCTTCACACTCTTTCACACATCAGGAAAAACTGTACAGTCAGCCTCACGAACCTATGTGTTTCATACTTAACATTCATCCTCTCTGCCCAAACAGGCTCTTCTGGCCCAAATCCAAGTCCTTCGATTATCTGTATAGTGATGGAGAGGCCCTGCTGAGAAACTTCCCTGTTCAAGCAACAATCAGCTTTTATGAAGAGAGCGACAGTGAGGATGAAGATGAAGAAGAAAAGGACTGGGAAGAGGAGGACAGCAACACCCAGGAGTGCCTCAAACAGCAGTGTCATTTCACATCTTGCAGCTGAGCCACTGGAGCCCACGCTGTGAACGCAGCAGCGAGACAAACCATCAACAGCCTGCCTCCATACAACTCCCACAGGTGTCACCGCTCCTGGCCATGGCTTTGTCTTTAAACAGCTACTGTAATGCCTGGCTTTTGCACTGACAATATATTTTAGAGCCTCTAAAACAGACTGAGACACACCTCTGAGCCAGTTAGTGTTTAAAAACTCAAGTTATGTTTTTGTTTGTGCACATGGCTTTTGGTTTAAGCTGCCCTGCCAAACCTTAACAGCCGAAGTATCTCCAAACTACTGAAGTTTCTGATCGACATTGTCTTGGCTCTGCTTTAAGATGGGCCAAGTGTCACTGTTGTTCATTTTGGCTTTTACCATTCCACACTAAGCGTCTTTAAGCATCCCTACCCCTATCCCTGAGATTGTCTGTCCAATGCCTTCTCCTTATTTTTCATATCAGGTGGCAACTAGCATACAAGAGGCATTAACACCCTTATTTCCCAGCATTTTGGTGGTGTTATTACAGGTTTAACATTTTTATCACTCAGCTCTATGTGATCCATTGTGGACAGGGAAAGTTTAATGTGAATGTTTAACTGTGAAGATGAAGCCCAGAGGGTTTATAGGATTCTGATGTGTGATACTACTCAGACTTCGGTCTCTGCTAATGACAGCCTCTCTCTGAAGTACATTTCTTTCTGTGTTGCACATACCTGCTGTGTGCTTGTATGGAGTATCTGCTCTGCAGTATTTTTCTGTCAGTGTGTGGTGAGAGATGTTTTCCCATATTGGGACACTTATTGTTTACAGTCAGCCTCAGGATCTGATTCTTCTCACTGTACATAGAATGTATCAGCACACCTTTTTAACTTATGATGTTCATAACTTGTACATAAACACATTGTCATGTTGACTTATTTTTTATACGTTTGTGCATCAGTCTCATCGTGTCCAAACTGAGCCTTCAGAAATAAAAGAAGCTATTTTGGGGACACTTTCCAAAACTGTTGTCTTCTTTCTTGTATCACAGATGTGTTGTGTGAAGCTGAGGTTTCCCTTTTCTTATATCTTCTTATCTTTCAACCTTTGATGTTTATCCAAGGCTTCTGATTTGGTTGAGAGTAGAGGCCTGCTCTATGTCTCTGAAGAGGACAGGATAAAAGAGAGGAGGGAGATAAGATGCACTGAGTGCAGGAGCTGAAAGAGAATTGAGACTCAAAGGCAAAGAAACAGGGAATAAGGGAGTGAAAACTCCACGGGCAAGAAGAAATTAGGGTTTGTGGACAATTTTACAGTGCAGTTTTATGTCAAGTTAAACAGGCTTTTTATGGAATACATAATGAAGATCTGAATAACTCTTCAGTGTTTAAGATATATGGTAATAACTTGTACAATTCATTATCTGCTCTAGAGGAGCAATTCACACTGCACCATATATCACCATACACCCTTTTTACTTCTTTCTAAAATATTCTCTGTCATAGAGGTGGAGAGACTTAGCTGAGGACACATGGTTTAAATGGAGACTGGTGGAACTGAAAGCTCCAACGATGCCACAGGGGGAAAGTGTGGGGTTACAGACATGCCAACCGGAGCATCAGTGGAGCACATATGCAGTCAGTGAGTGAAGAGACTTTGTGTAGTTATTATCTGAAGATAACCAACAACTCTGAATGACCACAGCAGATTATAGGTTTATCTAGCCCTGGCTTACTCTGATGCTTTTGCAGCTACATCCATGTTTGTTTATTATCACAGCATGAATGTGGCCCACCTTACTGACACCTCAGCAGTGCCATTTGTGTCTTCTCATACCACATGTAAGCAGTGATTCATGGTGGAAGAGCCCTTACTAAATAGCTGTTAAGAGTATAACTGAACAAACTTTGAAGAGGTTCGAGGTTGGACTTTTTCTTTATTTTCATTGACCATAGAAAGTATTCTAATAATTTGAGGTACTGCTTTTCTGATTTTTGGGTTTTACAAGCCAAGATCATCAACAGACTTCATGAAGTCTTTCACTTAGAATGTTAAGAATATGGAGCACATGACTCACTTGAAAATGAATAGATAAATAACATCAGACAGACAGAGAAAGAAGAAATATTGGGGCCCCACACCTGTAATGACTAATTTAGAATTCAGATTAATGACAGTAGTTAGGCCACACATTTAATCCTTCACCAGAATGAATTACTGGAAATAATTTTAAAAAGAAACCTTATTAAAATTGAACAGTATGGGTGGATGACGGTGCAGGTCGGAACCGCACGGGGCATGTTGGGTAGCTGAGTATTTGCGTGTAAGGCGTGGCGTGTTGTGGTCTCTGTGTCTGTCAGCTCCACACACGGTCACAGCCTATTCACGGTGCAGATATTGGGATGAACCAAGGTCTTTATTAACTTGAGCCTTAGCGACCCATACATCTGTCCGCGGCCCAGCGGTGCCGTCCAGCCATCCTCCGCGAGTTGTTTGGTTTCTCCCCGGTGAAACTTTGCCCGCCTCTTCTCTCTCCGTCAGCATTCGGTTATCAGAGCTGTTATTGGATAGTCGCAGGGATTCCTCCTTCTCATTGGCTCTTGGCTACGTCAATCACAATATGATAGCGTAGCGACACGTGTGGGAGTTCCCTGGAGTCGGAGAAGGAAAAAGGCTTTTCTGAAGAGGAATGGAGGTAAGAAGCACTTTATACATCTCTCCTTTTACATGTCTGGCTGAATACTTCTGTACAGCTGCTGTCTGCTGCTTTTATATGTGATATATAAGTGTTAATATAGGGGGATATGACTTAGAGTTCACATGACTGCTGATGATAAATTTTTGATATGCAGTTAGAGGCAGGAGAAGGCTCGCGCTTGTCCCTCTCCATCTCTTTACACAGGGTCTGTTTCATTTTAATCAGCCTGGAGCATTTTGTTTTAAAACAGGAAGAACGGGGTCTTAGTCATGCATTTTTGTGCTATGTTTGTGTGTGTGTGTGTGTGTGTGTGTGTGTGTGTGTGTGTCCCTCCTGGCTCTTCCCAGACGGACTATTTTTAATTATCCCAGATAAATCCTGTTTTAACTAGGTGTGTCTGCCTCTGTATCCTAATTATTAAAGTTGGTCTCGATTCAGAACCTCCCCTATCTCTGTCCCCGTTGCCATGGAAACCCCCCACCCCACCCCTCTTGGTCTATATTTATAGTAGCCTATATTTGCCAGAGGTAGGGCTGTATGGGGGCCATCTGCACGAACAAAAACACTCTGTGAGATGTTTCTGGGAGCAGGTGAACATGCATGAACTGAACTGTATCGAGGATCAAATATCAGACCTTACACATCTGGATTCAGCCAGAAACCCAAAAGACTATTTTGCATTTGGCGACTAAGAAACAAAGACAAAACTACACAGCTTCATGTTTATAGGAGGAAAAGGAGAAGACTGGCAGATCTCCCCTTCACTACAAGAGGTGATTATTTCCAACTTTAAGGGTCTGCTGGTGGTTTTTATGAGATATGAAACATGTCACTCTACAATTAAGAACTTTTTTAGCTGTCAGTGAAAGAGATCCAGTTTAACGGTATTAAAAGATGTTTGGGGATTGATCTTCTCTCACATGTTTACACTTCAGTTGGCCTAAACAGTCAGCTCACGGTTCAAAAGTCACCTCGTGGCATGGGTAGCTAAATTTACTCATCTGGGAGGCTGCATTAATTCTCAATATATAGAGGTTTTAGAGCTACATAAGCCGCCATCCAGACAATGTCTCTTTGAGGGAAGACCTTGCACAATACAGTAAAAAGATACCAAACAACATTCTGCATGCATTACAGCAGCATTAGGAGAGTCCAGGTGCTAGAGGGGCCGGTCTGCAGTCCCATCTTATTACTCACTGACAACATTTGGCACATCATGACCAGAAAAATATCACAAAAGAGACCCTGAACTGTTGAGTTTGTTGACTATGTTTGGCAAGAATGGGACATTATTTCACTTTTAAGACTCCAAAGCTTGGTCTCGACGGTCCCTGAATATTTACAGTGTTGTGAAAAGAACAGATAATGCAGCCCAGCGGTTAACATCCCTCTGTCCCAAAACTGTTGTGAAACATGTTGCTGGCATCAACACTTTTATTAGCACATATTTTCACTGAACGACAATGTTGACTTTGCCCTGTTTTTAGTTAAATATAAGGTCAAAGGATTTGCAAACCATCCATATTTGTTTTTGTACACATCTAATTAAGAGTGTTTTGATTTTGGGGGATTTGGGTTTGTATGTTATCATTTTTGAAGTCCGTCAGTGCTGTTGAAAGGTCATATTTAGACAGTGGTTTCAGTCTCTGCTGAGCCTTAGAGCATTTGTTTGAGCCTATTTACCTGTCAAATATTTACAGTGATTGACATTTTTGTCACTTTAAAGCTGGAGGATATTTTCTTCATTGAATATTCACAGAAACTAAAGCAAAAGAACAGCACAGAGACAGACTCAGAGGAGAAATGAAAGGACTGGATACTGAATGCAGCGGGAGACATGAGTCAGCTTGGGTCAGAGAGTGATGCACTGAACCTCGCCCTTCTTTGTGATCTGATTCATCTGTCTCATCTGCTCATCAGACCCACTGTGAGGCTTGGCTCTGTGAAATCTGTGGGAGTCATTTGTGTGTATGTGTACAAAGGGAGTGGGGAAGACCTTAAAGCTCCCGTGAGGAACTTTTAGTTAGAGTGGACTTTGGCACCCCCTGAGGACAAAGTGTTGCATTTTATCTTGTTGCTGATAGCTCCTATTGCATGTTTACGTTGTATTTTCAAATGTATGTATTATGCTGAAAAAAAAACTCAGCTCATGGTCTCTCAGGCACACACCAACAGAAAGAAAAAGATTTAGAAAAATGTAGGAGCCCTGACGAGTCGATCACTGAGTGCAGTGGAGTTCTGCAACCCAATGAAGGAAATTTATGATTTACCGTATTGTTGTATTTCCATGAAGTAATGATCATAAATTACTAATAATAATCGGTGATCGACTTATCAGGGCTTCCACACAAACAAGTGGCTGCTGGAGGAGAGTGGGTGAGTTGTGTTTGGTCTCTTTTTCCAAAGAAATCAGACAAAGCTAAACAGATGTTTGATGGCTAGTTCTGAGGCTGGGACCCTATATGTACTGTTGATGAAGTTGTGGTTTGCGTGTGGAGACTTACACCGCTGTGTATTACTATTGTGCAGTCTTTGCTGAAGTTGGTGGAATGAGAGAAGCAAGCAGTCGGCAAAATTCATCTCTCGAGGGCGTGTCTAACTCGGTGTTACTCTGTGTTTGACCATGGCTTAGACTTATGCCAGAATATCCCTTTAATTCTGGTGATTAAGCTAAATTTAATGCCAGACTTCACTAAAAAATTAAGTATTTTTACACTGTCATAAAAAAAATTGGAGATTTTAAGCTTTTTTACAATGTAAAGACTTGGGCTTGTATTTAATTTTGATATGGAAGCCCAGCAGTCGTTAGTTTATTAGTACTTGTGGCTGTTACAGCCTCTCTTTCATCATGCTCATTCTGTCCCTCAGCTTTTCAGACACACACATATACAAACAGCTGCCCCCTTCTGCTCCTCTCCCTGCTCTCTTCTCTCCACCTGTGCCTGCATTGTTGCCCGTGTTGACAATACAGCGGTCCACCAATTATCTTAGCAGGAGTTGCAACTTCCTTCTGCCCCCCAAAACCAATCTATATATTTATTCAAAAGCTCTGAATCCCAATTGAAGTAATCTTCAACACACAGGTAAAAATTATTGGCTGGTTATTAAGGCCTGTATCAGTCATCCGGTACACTATCCGAATTGGCCTTTTCTGTACTGATGGAACCAAAACCAATCAATTAAAGAGTTTCATGTTTTCTTGCACCTCTTTGTCTGGTTGCTCTCAGATGCAGCTGTACTGATGATGATGTTTTATCTCATATTATCTCCTATCTTGTGTTGGGGTTACAATATCCCAGATTCTAAATCTTGCAAAGCTTATCTTTTTTTTTTTTTTTTTTTTTTTTTTTTACTGTAAATGCATTTCAGTCTGAGAATTGATTATTTGTCTTATAAACTGCCGAATTGTGAGTATTGGTATCAATCCTGAAAAAAAACAACAGCCCACTGGCCCTAGTTTAGACAGTCTCTGCTTCAACCAGCGGTCTGAGAAAGAGGGTAAGGGGTGACATGTATGAAGACAGGCAGACAGTCAGCCACATAAGAACATCAGTAATAGTGGTTTCATGTCCTAGAAATAAAACTAATGGTAGAAATAATTACTTGATCATAGTAATGTGAACATGACTGATTGTAATAGTTGCTGACAAGAAGTATCATGATACACTCCCTGAGTTGTGGTTTACCATACTTAACTGGATTAATATGTGATGAAGATTTAGGACACTCGGTCCACCTCTAACCATGACATGATTTTCAGAAAGGCTCGAGATTGGCTGGTGGGAGTGACAGATACCAATGTATTATGTCATGTTTCTGTGTATCAGTGAGGCCGTTTGGACACCTGGATGTGGATGATGTTTTTATTTAAGAGATGGTGGTTTAGCTGCACATTGAACAGGATTACAGAAGTGAAGCATACTTGATAGAGCTCTATCCTGGTTGTAAAATAATGTTGTGGGTGTCGATGTCTAATGATGTGCTTTGTCTCCCTGCAGGTCAGCACTCTGTCACAGTGTGAGTAGCTGGGCAGGAGCATGGCTGCAGGTAAGCACCACACACACATACAGGGCCTGAATTTCATTTTAGTTCAACAAGGTAATCCCCCTCCCCCTTTGTGCTATACATCTGGAGATTTTTAAGTAATATGAGGGTATTTTGTGTGTAGCATAAACACAATGAGATAAGTTCTTATGAAATAGGCTGAAATTAAAGCTGATGCCTGTTTTTGACCTACAAAAGCAAACTAGACCATTGTAGGGAATATTCATTTTTTCCAAACTGTTGTCAGTGTGTTATCAGTAACAGTGCCTGAACAGTAGAGCTGCACGATTATGGCTAAAATGTTAATCACTATTTTTTCATCAATATCAAGATCAAAATGAGATTATTTTTTCAGTTTTGGGTCATTTTTTCCATGTGTATTGTTAAAAGTCTCTGTATATTGTGAATCTTACCTTTTACCAGGGCTGAGCTGAGACCAAAAAATCTGACCTGGTATTTCTTACCCTCACTGACCTCAAACATTTGCTCAAATAAGCATCAAATCGTATCAAAGCTTTACTTTTATAAGAGGTTTAACTATGAAAATACAGTTGGGAAAAGGACTTTCACTAGAAGTGGAGTAATTTCACAGAGAGGTATTAAAAAGTAAAGCAAGAGAGAGTTTCTTTGTATTCTAGTTAGGGGTCAGGTGACTTAAGCATGTAGGCTTGGACTCTACCCTCTCCGTGTTGTCTCTCGTTGTCTTTGTTGGTCAAACTGACATTCAATTATGTCAGCTGATCTGTTCACTGCTGTGCACACACTGCTGTGTCCTTAGAAATGGTTATAATTTGAAATTAAGCCATTTCTGAACTAGGTTTTCCAACAGTTTTAGATGTTTATTTTCACTCAGATTTTCACTCATGCTTGATGAAACCTTGAATTTTGATGTTTTATATGAATTTTTCATACTTGAGGTCATGTTTTCAGGCTGAAACACCTTTCTCAATCTCTGTAAATGAATCAAGGATGAATTATCCTCGATGATGTTTAGAGAGTCAAATATGTAAGTGCTAAACTGAGGGCTTCTTTTCTTCTCTGTGTTGTAGCGTTCCTAAATGGTCCGGATGCCCACTCCATCCTGAAACGGTTCCCGCGTGCAAACGGCTTCCTTGAGGAGTTGAGGCAGGGGAACATTGAGAGGGAGTGTGTGGAGGAGAGCTGCAGCTTCGAGGAGGCCAATGAAGTTTTTGAGAACAAAGAGAGAACGGTGAGCTGGCGCTGACAGGGGACATGGCAGCGAATGTGTTCAACGCCTCCATTTATGACAGTAGCATGATGAAAGAGGAGGTGGATTTGTTAGAGCTTTATCACCACAGAGTCCTGTCGCATCAGATAACCGCTAATAAAACCAGGAGAAATCTGACGTTTAAAAGGAAGGTGACAATGAGAGCTGCTAAACCACACAATGGAGAATCAACCTCTGAAAAATATTCAGCAGATCGTTCAAACTTGTCATCACAACTGTGACGTTGATATCAATTATCACACAGATAACCTCTGATTGTGTCTGCTCTCTGCCTGACAGATGGAGTTCTGGAAAACTCGAAGCATCTACACGGTGAGCAGCAGTGGTGAGGGGCGCTCTGAGCGTGCAGACACAGTCTACATGGTGGTGCCCCTGCTGGGTGTGGCCCTGCTTATCATCATTGGCCTCTTCCTCCTCTGGAGGTGCCAGCTACAGAAGGCCACACGCCGACGGCCCGCGTACACTCAAAACCGCTACCTGGGCAACAATCGCAGTAACCGCAGCCTGCCGCGCATCCTGGTTCACAGGGACCCTGGGTCACACACAGAGAGCTCACAGCACGAGGCCAGCCCACGTCCCACTGTGGTGGTTAGCGGTGCTGAGAGAGGAGACGGCTCCCAGCTGGACTCCCATGGCCCCCACCAGCAGAACACTCGAGCTCTGTACGTCCAGGATTCGTCCCTGTCGGTGGCATCCAGACTGTCTGGTGCCACACCTCCTCCTTCTTATGAGGAGGTGACGGGACACCTGGAGAGCAGCGGGGACGAGACCTCTGCACCATCCTACAGCGACCCACCACCCAAATATGAGGAGATCATCAAGGAGAAATGAGACCAAGACTGAATCAACACTGCCATGGCTCAATCTCAAGGAAAACTGCCTCTGCCGGTGGTGCTGGCTGCAGGGCGCTCAAACCCAGATTGTAAATCCAGTCTTTCTTTGTTGTTAAACATGAAGGTGCAACCTGAGGCCAGCCCTGCTCATTAGTGTGTGTGCCACCCAGGATTACTGTGTATAATTCACTGACACACCTCCTCACACTCCTCTTTTCTTTGGTCCTGGTTTCATTTGAGACAAACTGCAGTTTCTGGTGTGGATCTGACTCACAGGACTCACACTGACCCGGCTCTGTCTCCTCAGCTTGGGCTGCCACTACAAGAATGACTGCCCCCTGAATGCACATGCAGTCACTGTGTGCACATACTGTGACTCTCTGCACGTAAACAGTCATGAGGAGTGGTAGTGGTTCAGTATACTGGGCGCTCGGAGTCAGATTTTTTGCTGAGTCAGATCATTAAAAGATCTGGTTTTCACAGTTAAGGACTGCCCTTGTCTCGGGATTTTGTCAGTCGAATCTAGTTTGACTTCTCACTGCCAAGCTTTTATAGCAGCTCAGCATCACACTGAGTCTCTGAAATCAGAGTCTCAAACTTTACCCATGAAAAGTGTATGAATCAGAGTTCTACGTAAGAGACTTTAAATAATTTTCAGGTGACTGTGCTCTCACTCTTTAAACAACATCACCTCTGCTTTAGCAGTTACTTTAACCAAGTAAAGGGATCCAGTTAACCACTGTGCAGCACCTGAATCTAACTGAAAAGCTAAAAACTGGACTCAAATTTCCTAAATCTGTGGATTTGGTTCCTGACTTCAACATTAATTTTTCAGAGTTAAACATCAGCAAGAATTTTGCAGTCCACATTAAGTCCTCTTTATCGTGTCAGTCACTTGTGATGCAGTATGTTAACTAAGTCGTTGGATAAGAATCATGGACCACAGCATTCACAGCAGAGTTCAAAAAATGACACAGAAAGAAGCACATCCAGTCTGACGAAGCGTTTTCATCTTTCAATGCAGCCTAAATCTGAGGAAATGCACACTGTTCAATGTACTGCCACAGCTACAGCTGTAACGATGCCTCACAGTTGAGCTCAGATTCTCACTTTTATAGTAACACTCTGGCTAGTGAAATGGGACTGTCATTGTGTTAACTGTCTTAAAAAATGAAATATTAATATATTGTGCTAAAAATAAGCATATAGTAGTTTTCCTTTAACTAGTTAGGTCACTGAAACTAGAAACTAGAACTAAGATTTTTTTAAAGATAATTCTGAGATAAAAATTCATGGTCAACTGTATATGGGCCACATCTGCAAGACCAGATAAATGTCTCATTTTAAGATATTACAAACTAAAATTAAGATCTAGATTGTTTGTTATCAGCAAAAGCATACAAAAATCTATATTTGGGGAAAGAAATATTCACATTCAGACAACTTAAATGATCCCAAGGAGCTATATGGTTCTGGCAGTCTACTCAGACCATACATGCTTTACTTATGCATGTCAGAGACGGTAGATACAGTGGCAGAGATGCTATCAGCACTTTGCTACCCTCATGTGGCCCCCTTGAGTAACAACCATAGACTGTATAATGAATGGACAGAGTCTGCCTCCTCTCTGGGTGAAGCCACTCTGAGAACAGCACCCTCTGTTGATGGGCTGCAGTATAGGTCATAAATCCCGACTTTGCCAGCAAAGCTTATAGAGTTGTGGACAAACTTTAGAAAATTATTACACAGAACATAATCCCCCCCCTTCTTGTGATGTTGACATGTAGTTACAGTAAGACTGCTTTGTGTTCAAGTCCTCTTTTTTTCTGTACAGCTCTGTTTTTAAAAGTTTTTAGGGGGTTCATGTTTTCTTCGATTGACACCTGATGCAGCCTATTGGCGTTCAGAGATTGTGTAGCTCTCCCGGGGGATACGCTGTTTGAGCCGAGCGTCATCACAGCCACTCTTAGCGACTGCGTGCCCGAATGCACACATCGCTATTGTACAGAGCTGGTTTCAGGAAATGAAGACAAATCCTGGAAATACTGAGAGCTATTTGGCTTAAAATCCGTATACAGGCAGAACCAAGTTGTCCATAGTATATACAGTCTATGGTAACAACACTCACTAGGACCAGGCAGAGCTCGGCTAAATTATGTGAAATGAGGAAATAAATAAATAAGGTATACACACAATTTATGATGTAAACTTACACTCTAAGAGTGTATACCCAAATAGACCAGAGACCAAAAGATGGAAACTACCTAATCATAATAATAAATTGAATTTGTATCAAAGAACCCAAGGTCACTTTACAAAGTGGAATAATAAACTGAATGAATTTGAATTCCACTCTCTTCTACAGTAATTCAGATGATCCAGATGTCTACTTATTGCAGCCAAACAGTTAAACACAACATAAGGTACCATCTTACTAGGTTTAATGTATGGATTCATAAGAACTTCTACCCAATATTAAATCAGGACTCATGCAGGTACACTGCTACAACAATCCAGGTTCTGTGAGGAGGAGGAAGAGACTCCAGTGTGTAATTCAAAATTCAACTCCTACTTAAAAAAAAAAAAGGCTCAATACAATGTACATGGGGAGGAAATTTTGAGACTCTGTAAAGTTCACAGCCTGCCATGCTGCTCCTTCTGCACTCTGTAACAAAACATCTGAATTACTTGGATTCGACTGACAAACTAGAGGCGGACTTCTAGTCCTCTTGGCTGGATCATGAATCTTTTAGGAGGCAGATTTCTCACAGAACAGAGCCATAACCAGCAGCCAGCTGGCCTCATATTCACTTTGTAGACCTGAATGACTCATCAGAGGGAGCTCACCTACTTTTCTGACTCTTGTGCTTTTGATTTTCACAAAGATTTTGTACCAACTCTACCCACCAGCAGACTCAAGTTTATGCTTCCTTTCATTTGCTGTGTGGACTGACTTGTAGTTCACATGGATGTCATGTGGATCAGCGGAAAAAGTATTTCACTATTAATGAACATTTAATGTCTGTGTAAACAAACAGGTGCTAGCTGTGGCCTCATATCAGAGAGTAAAGACAGAGTTGCTCTCTGTTTGGACCCAATGTTTGCACACTATGTTACCTTCCAATGAGCACCTGTCTCATACCTACACCAGGACTACATGGTTTTGTTTGGGTGAGACAAGTCTCCTCACTTCTGCTCTAATTTGTCAATCTGGGTTAAAAAAAATCTTTGGGTGAAATAATTAGTTGATTAGTTGTTAGTTATAAAAATCATTTTGATCTTTTATGATGATAAACTGCCATTGTTTTCCAGCTTCTCCATTTTAGGACTTGCTGCTTTACTCTGCTTTATATCTTTGTAAATTGAACAGCTTATAGAATTATTTATGGAAAAATCATCTTTTTATTTCACAAACCTTCAACTCCCAAGATCCAGACCAGTCCTTAAGTCGCTGTAGTCCCATAATGCATATGTTGACACATGTATTATCACAGTTGTGAGTGTGTTTGATGATATGTCCACTAAGAGGACACAGTGTTGACTTCAGTCCCACTGTAACCTCACAGCTGTGTCTGCTGTCGTCACGGTGACAGTGAGTAAACAATCAAATCATCTAAGTGGATAACTGTGGAAACAATCTCGCACAGTGTGTATATGTACTCTCACTGTGTAGTGCAACACTGCCTAAACCCCACACTGTGTCTCCTCAAAAGAATTTAGATTTACAAAGTTTGAGGGTTACTTCTAAACATTCTGACATGAGCGTCAAAAGGGTTAGCCGATATGAGTTCAGTTTAAGCGCTGTACGTGAAAACTTGTTTCTTATTTTAATGCTTGGATTCATCACTAACTATAAGTGGTCATGGACATTCATTAGGGCCTATTTCTACTGATGGAGTCTACCATGTTTTAGGGCCTGTGTCCTCTAATAGAGTCGACCATGCATTAGGGCCTGTTTCCACTGACAGATTCAGACATGCATTTAGGCCTGTTTCTACAGACAAAGTCTACGATGTATTAGGGCCTGTATGCACTGAAAGTCTACCATGAATCAAGGCCTGTTTCCACTGCATTAGGGCCTGTTTCTCTACCATTCATTAGGGCTTGTTTGTACTGACAGGGTCTACCATGCATTAGGGCCTGTTTCTACTGACAGAGTCTACCATTCATTAGGGCCTGTATCCACTGACAGTTTTGGGTGCTGGCATCAATCTCCATTGAGAGTGCTTCTCACATGCTCTACCACTACATAAGTTGTTATACTTCTCTCCTCTACCTTGGTGATGACCATTTGATCTGTTTTAAATTGTTTTCTGCACTCAATGTTGTACCGTAAACTAAATTTAGTTACTTTTTCATTTTTTAAAATTCAAAATGGCATCGTGTTGGAATTCCCCAGCTTTTGGTACATAATGCAGGTAAAATGGTTCAATGTGGCTCTAATGTAAGTGACTCTAAAAGCAGAATTTGCTGGACAGAAATGAGGTTACCTGCATCTTCACATGGCAGCAGTATCAGCAAGAGGAGTATGTCAGACTGTTAGAGCTCAGGAAAATGGGATCCAGACAGTTATTAAGAGTTATATATTGTGAGCCCCTTATTTGATTGTGTAAGAGAGAGAAGAGCACTGCCTCCGCCTCAATATATCCACTAAGCGCTACTCTAACCCTGGTAAACAAGGCAAACTTTCAAGTCAATTTCGAGAACACAATAGTTCCCATTGTGAACAAAACACCCTAGATGAATTAGGAAAAATGTGTCTGTTTTTTTTTTTTGTTGTTGTTTGTTTTATTTTATTTTATTTTAGAAAATTCTACCATTAAAATTTAGATATGAAACAAGAAATCGTGCAGTGTTGTTCTCAAAGGTTGCAAACATTTGCATAAACAGCTGAAGCTACATGTTGGTGCTACATGTTTTTGCTTTTGTGACAATGAGTGCCTAAAACACAGGTGCAGTGGTTTTGTTCGGAAAGAGGGTTCTGCCAGCACATAATGCAGCGAGTGGACACAGGCCCTTTATCATCACGATTGTGACGCTTAAGGTTGGAAGTGTGTATGTAGTGTCACATCAGTTGTTATATTGTTTGAGTCTTTTTTTTTTAATTTCAGGTTCTTCTGTTCCAACACTAAAGGGTCTTTTCCCACATTGTCTCCTTTCATACTATAATTTTTGTAAATGTATTGATTGTTGACACATCATAAGCTTTAAATGAGTATGTAACCCTCTGTAAAATGTTTGTAAAATGAAGTAGATCTGCATTACACTGCTTGTGCACATGTGCTTATTTGAAAAAAAAAAGCACTTGGAAATTCACTAACTAAAGTTTGAAAAGATCAGAAAACTACAGACATCTCTTTTCCAAGTGTCTGCACTTAAACTGACCATTAGGCAACAAGATTCGCTGTTTATGTGCTGAGAGCAATTGTAAAACAGCAGCAGATCGACCAAAGCAAACGTTCATTGTTTTGTGTCCGGATTTAAGGGCTTCTTGTGTCTTCCACGGGATGAGTGTTTACTGTCAGAGACAAAGAGGTGAATTCAGCAGCACCAGTGCAGGCTGTGACCTCTGTGCATTTCCTTACTTTAAATCTGAAACATGGAAACACTTTTAACCAACCCCCTCACTGAAGATCTGTAAAAGATTCACAGGATCAGTCATATCAAACAGTGTTCAGTCAGTCCTGATGTAAAGCAAATATGAGTCTAACCCGTGGTGCTTCTGAACTGTATTATTCATTGATGTCAGATGGAAATTAAGTATTTTGTACTTTGGGGTGATCCGTGTGTGTGTGCAGGCTGTGGACACTAACACTGCCATGGCTGCTGCTCACATGTCGTTCAGGTAACCACGATAGTCATGTCAGTGCTGTTCTTATAAGAGGTGTGTTACAGTGTTGTCCGTGTTGTGCACAGTGATGGTTACATTTTGGTTGCATATTAACGGAGTTTGAGCTCCTCACATGTGATAAGGTGCACTTACAGTTTCCTGCCAGTGGCTTATTTTTGTATTCTCTTGTACTCTGAGTTTTTCACTGCCTTTGAAAACAGCCTGTTTACCATTGAACCACACGAGCCTCTGTTTCACCACATTCCACACGATGAGATCCACTGATCTAAATGAATGAATAAACTCTGTAAATTTCACAAAAAGGCTGATTTTCTCTCCACCAAAATGGATGTATTGTATATTTCAATATAACTGTACTACTCTCTTGTATTTCTTTCACTTTGGTCTTTTTTAAACTTCTAATAAATTCAGTGTAAAGAAACTTTCAGTCAATGCTTCTTCTGTAGTGTTTTGTGCTTATTAACAGATAGCACACTTTGTGTTGTCCAGTGTTGTAACTTTGGCCTATGAGTGTTTGCAGCTGAGATACAACGACTCACAAAATGAAAAGTATGAAATTGATTATTTTCTTTAGAGATTTATAAAAAAAAAAAAAACTGAACTACAAGGAGCTCATTCACTGACCATGGTATTACGGTGGTTGATTGGCCAACCAACTCACCTAACCTGGACCCTGTGGAGGATCTCCGCGGCATCATCAAGAAAAAGGTAAGACATCACGGCAACAAGAGACCTGTACTTCAATCACACCCCAGCAGAGACACAGACTGACTGCCTCCATGCAACGTGCATCAATGCAGTAATTCGTGCAGGGTCCTTACTAAGTACTAAAAACATAAATGAATGTAATTTTCCAGAAGTTTTATATTTTATTCATATAAATCCTTCCATTAATTTGTTTTCTGGTGTTTTATAATGTTCTGATATTTTGAAAAAGTGGTTTTTATTTTTTTAATTTTTATTTATTTACTTTTATTTTTATTTTTGTGAGCTGTGAGCAATAAACATCATGATTTTAGCAACAAAAATCTTGAAATATTTCACTTTATATATGATGAATTTAAAATATACTAAACTTTCAGTGCTTGGTTGAAATTATGGGTAAAAAAAACAAGGTTTTCTTGATATTCGAATTTTTGAGAAGCACCTGTGTAGAGACAAACAACAATTCATGCACACAATCACACAGTCATGGGCGATATAGAGTGACTAATTATCCTAATGAGTGTGTTTTGACTGTAGGAGGAAGCCAGAGTGCCTGGAGAGAACTCAAACACACACAGTGGGAACATGCGCACTTCACACAAATGGCTGCTGCCCAGCCTGGGGATTGATTTGGGAACCATCTCGCTCTGAATGCAATATATATGTAGTTGTGGTCCAAATATAATCCTTTGGCATTGTGGGATTTTACTGTGAGCAGGAAAATAATCTGCGTGAAGAACAGTAGAGCAGGGACACATTATGTCATACTGTAATACCGGACGTTATGAGCAGTCACCTGAAGATAATTCAGCTTTTAAGAGTGTCTTTAAACTGATACCTTCTCTCGCTAACTTCACTCTCACCTCTTAAATTCCTTGAAACAGTGCAGTAAACTTAGTCAAAAGTCCTCTACCTCTAGCCCCTACCTGTACCAGACACTCTGAGAAGTCAGCGTGGCTCTCAGAGGATTAACTGTTGTTCCCCAATTGGACAAAGACAGACATACACTGTTCAGTTTTATTCGACACCATTCAGTCAGAGATATAAATATCATGCATGACTTTATTGTTATAGTTATTTAGACAGACCCTGCAGTACACAGAGGAAGCTGAATATAGGCTCAGAGGTAGAACTACAGTGGAAAACATTCATAATAATAATAGTTATATACACACAGTGTAATAATATATACAGTTTACATTTACTTCCTCTCTTTATGTTTTACAAAAGGAACTCTTGATTCGGGGACAGAAAGTAAACAATTACATTTACCCAAGTGACTGTGAATACATATCTTTTTCATGTACTTGTCCTTTTTTAGATCTTTTTTTTTTCTTTTACTGCAGGATTCTCTGTGGAAATATGAAGCCCCATGTAGCTTGAGTTACTGAGTTAAAAATAACCATAAATAAAATAAAATAAAAATACATCCCTTCAGTCAGCCAGATGACTGTCAGGTGATTGGACTACCTCACAGATTGGTGAACTAACATGAAACAGAGCAGAATGCAGATGTGAGTGCTGGAATAAAAACATGTGATACCAGTCTGTACATATGTAAAAAAGAGATACAATCACTTTTTCCTCCTCATGATGACAGTAACAAACCAGGCTGATGTTACTTTAACAGTCTAACATCTTTCAACCTGAGCCAATCAGAGCCAGCCATCCTCTAAGCTGAATGAGCCTTTATTTACAGACAAGTTAAGTGCAAGCTTCATGTCTAAGGTGCTGTATCAACAAAAGGTGCTGAGAAAATATTTAAATATTACAACTAGTAGTTTGCCCAAAACAAACTTTACAATTAAAGGTCTGGGCCTCATGTTTGCTTTCAGTCCAATCCCCCTTACTGGGTTGAAAAAAAAAGAGGAATAAAATTAAGATAAAAACGAAAATAGCACTTTAATCAAAATTCAAACAATTGAACTTGAGTAGTTAACAGACTTTTTGACATTGTTCTGTTTAAAGCTCCTGTGAGGAACTTTTTTATGTGAATTAAATAGGCTGAAACTGATGTAGAAACCCTTAATGATTTTACATGCTTGAAAATGGAGTGAGGGGCTAGGCTAGGACAGCCTGTTTTGACATTGCCTGCACACAGACAATGTCAAAATATGATATTCACAATAAATAATACATTTGACCATCAGCAGGATAAGAATCCTGTTAGAACACACTGCTTAAATACATAGATGAGGAGGAAAAGAAAAACTGCTTTGTCCACAGGGGGGCGCCAATACTGACAAGAACTGAAAGTTCCTCACAGGAACTTTAAGTAACTCTATCAAAGTAAACTTTAATTTAAGTATTTCACTCTGGCTCAAGCTCTCTTTTCATCCCTGCCCTTGACCAACTTGGACTGAAGCATGTTATTAAAATATTTGTTCTTGTAATGAGAAATACTTAGTGACAACAAAACAGGCATGACAGAGTAAAACTTTTACACAAAACGCTCTCGAGCAGCAGGATGAAATCTGCATAACCAGGAAAAACATAATCCGGTCAATTTACCTTTAGCTCAGAAAGAAAAAATAAACAAAAAACAGTAGCAGCAAAGTGCTATTTAAGCTAGAGGTATCACTCAAAAGTATATCAGCACAGACATTAGCTTAATTTTAGCTATCAACCTCATTTAGTACAAATATTTTAAATGTGTCAACATCCAGAGCTCCACAGAGGGGCTCAGATGTGAAGAGGTAACACATCTTAGAGGTTACATACAGTTCAGGTAAACTGCAACATCATTAGTCCATATAGGTTTTTCTGGTTCAGCTCCTCAGACAGGGTGGGGCAGCCTCAGGGGGAGTGGGTGATGTTGGTGGGGTCAGTCGAGAGAGTGACAGTTGGCTCTGGGATGGTCCGATTGAAGACTTTCTGGAAATGGAGCTTCAGCAGAGAAAAAAACAAGATAGAAAAGGGTTAGGGTGATCAAAAGGAGTTTTTCTACCCCACTGATCTGTCTGAGTCACCTGATGAAACAGGTACAGTCTCCCTTCAAATTCAGTGATGCATATATTAACTTATGTGCAGACATTACAATATCTTTTTTTCTGTCTGCAGTAAAAAAAAAAAAATGTCAGAAAACAGCCATGTTTCTAATTTGTTTTTTAATCTGTTTTTTTTTTTGGTCTTGAAAGGGAAATTTAAACTAGTCCAAAAAGTGTTTATCAGGAAAAACATGCAGCAAATTCATAAATGATGCAAAATCCCAAATCAAATGCAAAAACAGAAACATGTTACAGATTGAAAAAAACGTGATACAAATAAACAAATCCGCTCTATCAGCTGGAAAACACAACTTTTAATTATTACTATTATCATTTTTTTAAGTTTCTGGTGAACAGCTAGCTTTGGCAAAGTTATTGTGTTAGATGATTTCTAAAGTTGCTGTGTGGGAACTCTCTCCTGATATTTTTTCATCTTTCTGCTTCAATTTTTGTCATCTAAAGCATGTTTCCATCATTGCATTTCTTTTGAATTTTTTACATGTGTTTATGAATGTGCATTATTTATAACTTTGCAGCACATTCCCCCAAAGCAGGATGTACAGGCTGTTCCAGATTAGTTGGGCTTGTTGTTGGCCACTGCCAACTGTCCCCACACAAACCTGGCAGACTACTGTATGACTCAACAATTTTGAGTTTAAGTCTACTAAGAAGGATCATTAATCCCTGGCGCGCTCAGTGAACTCTAATTGTAGAAACAGAAGGAGTTCTCTTGTATCATAAATAGCCTCACTAATGTAGTTTAAAAAGCATCATTGAACCCAGACAGTCTGTTAAAATCCCACAGCTTTTAGCCTTCTGAAGCTTTCATGAACACTTTATAAAGTGGTGACTGGGATCTTTACCATTCCTCTATCCCTGAGTCCTCCAGCAGCTCTGCATCTATAGCCCCCCCTGTGCTGCTCTCCTCCTCCTCTTCATCCTCTGCGTTGTTGCTCTGAGCGCATCGAGCAGTCCAGTTTTCCTCACTCTGCTCTGTGGGCTCCACCACGATGGAGGGGAGACGCTCCCTCCTGTACAGAAAGTCTTCAGGATAGGAGCTGGAGTCTGAATCTTCGCTCATGTTGGCCTCTGGAAAGATCTAAACCGACAGAGGACCACAGTGGTGAATCATCACAAAATAAAGAAACTTTATTGTGAATGAATTATGATGAAAGCATTTTAAATACAACAGTTGTAATAGACAGCATACATTGTGTGTGTGTGTGTATATATATATATATATATATATATATATATATATATATAGATATATATATATATATATATATGTATGTATATATGAGATTATATAGATATATATTAAATAAGAGAAAGAGAGTGAAGGTGTTTTCTGTACCTGGTAAGCTCTGCTGCCTCTTCTCTCCACTGGAATTCCGTCCACCTCAGACTCTCCCTGACTGAGAAGAGTGCTCATACTGCACACACACACACACACACACACACACACACACACACACACACACACACACACACACACACACACACACACAAAATTTGGGTTTATAGACGTAATTATTGTTAATATTACTCTTTGGACTCATCTTTGTAGAAAAGACGAATCCAAACTTCTAAATGTTGGAGATCTATAGAGACCCTTGCCTTTCATCAAAACATTTCAATATATCTAATTTGACAATATACAACTCCTGATCATCAATAAATAATCATCTTTTTATTTATCTATTTTAGTTACTTTTATTTTTTTTCTGCCTTGTCACTGAAATGAGATGAAATGAATACGCCTTGCCTCAAAAATGTCCATAAAATAAGAGTTCCCTGAAGGCATGCTGTTGTTAGAGACCCTCTTATTGCAGTTTTGACCTGAGTTTGTGGATGCTGGAACATAATACATTCACAGACAATGGTTTTTGATGGTGCTTCTCAGCTCATGAAGTGATTTCCACTACACAGTTGTGTTTGTTTTTGTGCAGAGCCACCTGATGGCCCCATCCCACTATTGGTTTTCAGGCTTGTCTCTGTTATTATAGAGAATTCCTTAGTCTTTCTGCTTTTCCTCAGCTTTTCTTTTATTAAGGGTTACATAATAATAAAAACAAAACAGTAAAGTAGACCCATGTTACTGATCGGTGTTTTAATACACACATACAATGTTACAGTGTTGGGAATCCACACCAAACTGTGGTGAAGTTTCATAACAGAAGATTCACAGATGACAGTGTGATCCTGGACATATTTACTGCCTTCACTGAATGGATCATTCAAAGTCATGGTCACAAACCAACACCGGGTTGTGTTACCCCCACATTGCTTTAGAATGAGCCCACCTGTGAGCAGAAAGTTCATTTCACTGCTCGACTTTCTTCTCGATCCTGCAATCTGTTTTTATGTTTTGGGAAAAACAGCCACAACCTAGCTGTTTGAGCTGTCCATTTTACAGATGATTGTTTTAAACAAAAGTCAGTATGGGCTGCATTTGTATCCAAACTGGTACCAAAACCTTGAGCTTGTTCAGTTGAAGCTATCCATGTAAAACTATTTACTCTTACCTGGTTAAACAGGGAGCTAAGTGGGGACTAGCTCAAGATGTATCATGACTCATAAGCTTTGTGAAAAGTAACTCCCACAAGCTGTGTCAAACTCAAACAAATGAGGAGTTGAAACTTGCAGTTCCTTGGTCCATAATAACCCTGCAGCTCACTCATCCTTCAGGGTGTAGAGATATTTCCTATCATACACATGATGTGATCACACAGGCCAATGTGTTTTCACACATTTCAAAGATGCTATTTGACAGCACGAACGTATCCAAGGAACTAGGAATCTTCTGGAGAACCTTTGACACTATCTGCCTTTCCCAGATAGAAAGCCAGACAACAGAGGATGACAGGAACTATTTAGTTTCTTAATGAGAAAGTCTGTTGAAACCAAAAGTTGCGGGTACTTTACATTGAAAAGCATGTTTTGCTACCTGTACAACAAAAGTGAGCAGTATGAACAACAGGTGAGGGGATTAGGAGGGGGAGGGTGTCATGGAAAGAGTTGGGTTTATCTGTAGGTAAGCACCTAATGACTTCAGCAGCTTATACAACAAATGACTCGCAACTGAGAGGATGGGAGGGGAGGATCAGAGGAGATGGGGAAAAAGATGGAGGATTCCCTAACCTGTTACAGTTATTAAAATGTATATCTATTTGATATCAAAGTTGTAGGGTCTATCAGAGAGATTGCACCAGAGTTCTAGCATTTCAAGCAGATGCACCTATTGTATGCCTTTAATGTTGTGTTAGTTTTTATAACAGACACCTCTTGAACAGTAAGTGTGCCTCTGTTTTTAGTGCTCAGGAAAACTACAAAACAACCTCAGAGGTTGATGTGTAACATGTCTCTGTGTTTAGTTAGTATTAAGCCATATATAGTCATATTACCTGAGTGAGGCTGGGATACAACTCATGTTTTCCTGGATTCAAAGGACTTTAGGACCCTGTCCTCCAAACAGGTCTGAATGTCTTCTTGTTGAAAAAAAAAAGGACAAAAAATTAAACCGCTCCTGCTGAAAGTCGTCCAGGTTGTGTTGTCCGTCACTTTCCTTCTTTATGTCTGTCACAGGTTCAGCTTCCCTTCTGCCCTCCTCCCCCCCGTCTGATTCCCTCCTCTCCTCCCTTAATTTTTTCCACAGTGTCCCATGTGACGCACACAACACTGCACAGTGCATCGACGTACAACCCTGCTGTCCAAGCTGGCAGCTTAGTGTCCCCTTCAATTAGAGACAAAGCTTTCTGTACCATGTGAGTGTGCAGAAGCAATCCGGATCAGCAGGTGAGCCATACCTGCTGCATACACCTTAGCGTCTCTCTCTCTTTATGATTCATTCCACAGATTCTCCATTAGTGCTCATCAGTTTGCAGTCTCTACAATCATGTTTAGCAATAAACTCCCAGCAAAAACAACCTATTGGAGAGTCACAGAGGATCTTGGGTAGTCTTTATATTGCCACATTACCTTACCTGCAGCTCATCCACAATGCAAACGACAGGCATTCTGCAGTTTGACCAGCAGGGGGTGCCAGTTCGATAGTGCTGCTGTCCCTCTCACATGCCATCAGATCCATCACTGCACAGTGAGTGAAGTGAATTTTCATGGGTCAACCGTGTGTGCGCTCTGACAAAGAGCTCATTATGTACTCCACATGCTTAACACCCTGCATGCCTCTTTATTTTTTCTTCTTCATCTTCTGCTCCATCTTCTTGGTATTATAACAATTTTAAATATGGACATGGACATATTGTAAGTTTGCAGGGGAACATATAAAAAAGAAAAATGAGGTGTTATCTGGAACAGTTTGAGGGCAGGTCGAGAAGTCCCCGTGTTGACAGTGTCTGGTTACAGCCCTGCACGTTGAAGGCAACACGTTGGTCCTGGCCTGGTATTTAGAGCATGTTACACTGTTCACATTCTCTCTGTGTGTTGCCCATTAGAGTGAATGGCTTGTTCTCAGACCTTGTGCTAAAATCAAGCTCTCACACTGGGTCTGATTTAACTTAAATAAAAGCAGGTTCAGGTCTTCAGGGGTGTAACTTTAATCGAGACAAACTAAAGAGGAAGTTGTCTTCAGCTCTGATAATGATCCAAAGCGTTGATTTCATCTCATTCAATAGCAGACTGATACTGTTGGAGAGACACTCTGTGGATCACAGTTCGTACATGTGACATGTGACATGTCATATCTGGTGAAAACAGAGGCTGCAGTCATACAGACCGGTGTTTCTTGGTATATTACAGTAATTGGATTTCCTGACCCCACTTAAGTCAAATGATCCAATGTTTCTGAAGTGGGTCTCTGAAAAAGCAGTATTTTATGCCACCGGAGAACACAGGGGGAGAGAGACGAAGGACAAACAATGGTGACTAGATCCTCAAGTGATGATGACCTGGTCATGGTTGTAAGTCTATTGAATTAGGGTGACCATACGTCCTCTTTTACCCGGACATGTCCTCTTTTTGGGGGGCTGTCCAGCCTTGTCCAGAGGAGTTTATAAAATCCTTCAAATGTCCGAGTTTTGTATGGAAGTTTTGAGTTTGTGTCACGTGGACTAACTGTCCACGACTAACTAGAAGTGCATAAAAAAAAACTCAATTCAACCTGAAAAACTGCGTGACTCTGTGACTCTGGCCCCATGTAGTCGTGTACTCTTTTTGGGGATTCAGAATATGGTCACCCCAATTGAATAACAAAAAGAGAAAGAAGAATGTCTGAGTGTCTGGGTACATCCAATACTGACCTTGTGATAGGAGATAGGGGAGCTACACACAAGGATCCAGGAGCTTAATTTGTACCCCAAGAAATTCAGACAATACTTCTGAATTTCCCTTGGACAATTTCAAGAACTGCTCCATCAGCTGACTCCACGTTTGCAGAAGGAGAGGACAAATTACATAAAGCCGATTGATCCAGAGCAATGGCTTGCCGCATGTCTGAGGAGGTAAGATTTATATTGAGCTATAGATTTTTATAGCAGTTCGCTAGCAAATGTCGGCAAAATTTGCTACAGTGGTGGAAAAATTACAGTTGTTTTTTTGCTCTGTGGAAGTTCATAGCTGGTGTGGAAGTTTGCATTGACTTTGCAGGGTTTTAAAAAAAAAAGCGAATTATTCGCTTCGCAAATTTGCTTCTCCGGTGTGTAACAACCTTTAGACTATAAAATGGTTTGACCTGCATCTCCACTTGTGCCTACAAGTCAGTTACATTTAACAATACATCCTGATCATCTGTTACCACTGAGAGAGGAAGAAAAGCAATGCCTCTACCACAGCATGTCCACTACCAATAACAGCAGTGAGTCATCTACAAAAAAATGCTCAGAGAGATGTGTGCTTGTTAGTCATTCATGTTTGTAATGTACACCCTGAGCCTCTGTTACCATAAAGAGAGAGTTAGAAAAGCAATGCCCCTACCACAGCCTGTCAACTACCGAGAATACCAGTGAGTCATCTACTGAAAGACTGTTTACACCCTGTGCTGGTTAGCTAAACCAGCTGCCCAGAGACTCTCTGACTCTCAGCCTTCAGAGCTAACTGATGGTGAACCCACTGACTTATCAAAACCTGTCTGCAAAAGATGCTACGAAACAGGGTCATGCAAAGTGGAAACACTGCACACCTTGTCAAGCACCTCAGAGACAGATACTTAGACCCTTTCAAGGAGAACAAATCATGAAGGTAAGCAATTTTGTACATAACACACATTGACATAAGTACGTCAGAAGTGCCAAAATGTTTAAAATCCAGGCACGAGTTGTGGTTGATGATATTTTTTGTTCTATTCATTTGTTTCCTTTTTTTCTACGATGTGACTCCATCACTCTCATGTGATTGGTAATAACTCTGAACATTCACATCTCTATGCTCGGGTCAAGTTTGATGAGCACAAGGGGCTTTATTCATGACTTTGATGCCATTTAACAGACAGAGACTGATTAACACTGTAGGGCTGTGCAGCGGGACAGCTGTGGAGTATTTATAAAGAGGGAAGAGGAAGGAGGCAGGAGAAGAGAGAACGAGAGCACAGACAGAGAGCCACAGACCCTGCAGAGAAATCAGGGACTGAGAGTCAACAGATAAACAGGCAGAGAGTGGAGGATTTCCAAAACCAGTGAGCTGGACGAGAGCAAACCTCTGCTGCATCCTGAAGAAAAGGAAAACATGACACGAGGAGGAATGAAAGGGGTGAGAGAGGAGGGAAAAAAAGGAAACAAAAGCTAAAAAAGATTCTTGGATGGCTGACAGAGTAAGAGGTTTGTGTTCTTCAAAACATGCCTGAGTGTAAGAGCAGCAGCAGCTAGCTGGGATTCAGGTCAGTGGTTCCTGTTCGCCCCGTCACAGAGGGAAGAAAAGAGGAAGAAAAACAAACAAGGACAGGTAATAAAAGGAACCAGGTGGCAGACAGAGTTGTTTCAGAGCATGTACTACATGCTTCTTTATTAGGTTCCTGTGTTGTTGAAAGTTTGGACTACTTTAAATAGAGGGAGTGGAGAGAAGGAGAGAGGGAGACTCAAACGCCAAAAAAGGTCTGGAGTCAGAGCTGGAGAAACTGCAGGCTTAACCGATGCTGCACACCAGAGAGGAGAGGAGAGGAGAATAAGGAGAGAGACAGGGACAGATCGAGGCAGAACAAGGAGGGGAGCGACTTTTGAAAAAAAAAAAAAAGGAGGAAGAAGAAGAGGGAGCGTGCACTCTCAAAATATAACTCCTGAAGTGAGATCGACTGACAAAGACAAGGCAGGTCAGGAGGGGTTAGGTGGTGGGCCAGAAAAAGCTCCAGGGGTGAGAGAGTGTGTGTGTCTGTGTGGGTGGGTTGGGGGCTGAGTGTGGGCTGTTACTGTAAATGTGATCCTCAGCAGACCAGCCAGAGAAACTGTAAACCCTGAGGGGGAAGAAGATCCAGCTGGTCCAACAAATCAAACAAAGCATGGAAACCAGAGTTTCCCCACTGCTCTAGACCAAACAGACCCCTCGACCACCCGACATCATGTCCACTGGCCCTGGCCTTGGTGCACCTGACCTGGCCCAGGGCCCCCAGACTGTGGGACCTGTTGGGCTCCAGACCCTGTTGGATCTACTGGTGGGTGTCTACCAGGAGTTCTACTCCTCACCCTTCGCAAGGGAGAAGTATGTGTCCGGCTTCCTCCAGTGGGGTGAGTGTTTCTGCTGCATATGACTTCTGCTTGACTCACACATGAATTCAATAACACCTGTTTCATCTATGGAAACATTTACACACTCTGACGGGACATGTCGCTTGGAAACCTTTTTGTTTGGACTCAAAAACAACCAACTGATGCGCTACCTAAACCCCACCCCACACAGCATCCTGAGTGACCCGGTCTACAGCTTCTGTTTGAGCACCCGAACCTGGAAAAACCCAATCATGTTTTTTTAATCCTTCATCACTGATTAACTTAACCTCAGAATTAACACAAGCCAAACAATGCAAACACATGTGACTAAGCAACCAGCTGCTTTAGCTGTTCGAGGACTGAACTTGTGGTGAGGTGCATTCAAAGGAAGTCACAACCACATCAAGACCAGGTTTAAGATGAAGCTACAAGTTTAGAAACTATCTGCTGTCCACATCATGTTCATGTGAGATGGCTCTGCAGGTCACAGTTAACAACCAGTACTTGTGCATGAGGAAGTATGCTAATCTATGATCCGACAAAGGCAGGGGAAACCAATTACTGTCACGAAAGAGACATTGTTTTATTTAAAACAGCCAGGTTTAGTTAAGCACAAAATAATCTTTAACAGGCAAAAAGAGGAAGTGGGCTGGATTTATGGCCAGGCTCCAGTATTGTTGTGACATTGTACAATGCTGATAAAAACAGATTAAAATTTAAGTATTGCAAATACAATGTAAAATGTATTGATACTGAACATTTTTATTGCATGATAAGAGATATACTCATTTTAAATTTGACAGCAGCAACAAGTTTTAAAAAAAGTTGGACAGGGCGTGTTTACTATTGTGAAGCACTCTGTAATCATTTGGGAACTGAGAAGACCAGTTTCAGGAGATTAGAGGGTGAAATGTTTCCCACTTTTACTTGAAGTACTTTGTTTTACTTATTACTTTAAGGGGAACCAAATGTTTTCATTAGGTGACAAGTCAGGATTGCAAGCAGGACAGGACTCTTCTACTACAGAGCCATTTTTTAACATATGCCAAAATCTGGTTTGGCATTGTTTTGCTGAAATATGTAAGACCTTCCCTGAAAAAAGTCATTGTCTAGATGTTGGCATATGTTGCTCCAAAACCTGAATATACGGTATATACTGTTCAGCTTTAATGGATCACAGGTGCTGGCTTTTGAACTCGACTTATGTAACAGGCTGTGTGAGTCCTCCCTTCTTGCAGAGGATGTTGCATCCATGATTACCACAAAGAATTTGTAGAAGCACAAGTTTTCTACTCAGTCCATCTTGCATGGGCTTGGGCTTAGAGAAGTTTTTTGTTTCCTCTTTAGATGTCACAATTATAACCGTCATTTTCAGCAACAAACTGTGTTCACAGACAATGTTTCTTGGAAGTGATTTTGAGTCCATGCAGTGAGTTCCACTTTGGAGTCTGTTTTCATGCGGTGCCACCTGAGGACCCAAAGATCACAGTCATTACGTACTGGCTTTGGACAGTGCACCAGTTGCATTGTCAAAGTTATAAGTTGTTCTGTGTAGTCATCATGTTTGAAACAAACACTGGCTACCACAGTATCTTGCCTTTCCTTTTTTTGTAGCATCAAAGCTAATCTACAACAGTCACATCAAAATTATTCATCATCCTCTAACATATTAGCCTGACTGAGGCAGACAGCCGCTGATGGTTCCCTCTTATTCAGAGAAAACACTGAATGATTCATAAAATGAGAACCTGAAAACACACAGCCTGGAGCAGGAAGTCTGAGTTACTAAAGAAAGTTCATTACTAGCTTTCATGGCACACAAAAATGAGAGTGATGAGCTTACCTCAGGGTATAAATTTGGCCAAATGAGACAAATTAGTGATTCACCACAACAAACATCATTGAAGTTTACCCTGTTAATATGGTTCAATCCAAACAAACTTCTAATTAGCAAGTAAGATCAAATAATTGTTAACTTTTGTTTAAATCTTAGCAGGAATATAAGTTTAGATTTTATTAAAAAAACATATTTTATGCATAGAACCTTTAAGGGTCAGTCTATAAGCATACATACTGGTACATAAACATTGACTCATGAGCAGGAGGAATGTTCACCTCCCTCTCAGCCTGAATATCAACATTTATCCAAGATGATTAACAACACAGCACTGGAGACAGTCTCCATGACAGCTGTGTTTGGGTATTTGCTGGTGCTCTTATTTTTGGTTGTGCTGTGTATTTGGCTGAGTCG